CCCCCCGTCTCCAGCCTGAGGTAAATGCCGGCCCTCTCCTCGCACCTCCCGGGACGGGGCTGCACGGCCCCGCGGCTCCCCCGAGGCGGGAGTCCTCCCTCAGAGCCCGGGGAAGGGGCTCCCGAGTCCCTCCGCTGCCCTCACGGAGACCACCTCCATCCCCGGGCGAGGTGGGCGGGTGTGGGGCAGTTCTGTCTGTGGCTCAGCCCGCAAACCCTGGGACCATGTCCAGTATTTGGGGTCGCCGCAGGTACCCCCGGTGGTCTCAGGGAAGTCTCATCATGGACCAGCGGTGAGGTGAGGAGAAGGCTGTGAGGGCTTGCCATGGGGACTGTTTGATGTGTGTGATAGTGGGGACAGAGGAGTCAGTGCGAAGGAGAGAGCAGAGCCATCCTGTCCCTTCCCAGGTCCATTTTCAAGTCTAGGTATTGCAAGGGGATGTTTTACTACCTACAGTCCTGCAGAGGAGGTCCAGGGCCTCTGCCCCTGCCACAGGTGCAAGAGATGGTGCCTCCTGTGTCCTCCTCTTCCCTCCAGAGTCCCTGTCCCTGCCGGCCCCGAACACCCACAGGAGCTGATCCACCTCTGCCCAAACTCTGAATTAAGCAGAAGTGACTCCAAATCCTCTTGCTTTGATCTCTTGGTGGGTGATAATCCCCAAAGAGTTAAAAGCTTTGGGTTTGCATCCTTGCCTGGTAGAAGTGTGGATCCACCAGCCCCTTGAGGCTCTGGGTTTAGCCATCCCTGCTACTACTTCACGGTCTGCCCTCAGGTTGAAAGATTATGCCTTTCATTAGCAGACTGATTTAGGTAGGTCCATAAATATTCACCGTGATATTTACCACATGGTCGAAGCAGAAGCACAGATCCTGTCTGTCTCAATTCCAGGATACTTTTTGAGGAAGGTGAGGGCTGGAGGGCCAAATTTTAGTGTGGAGGAACTGTGGTGGACACAGGAACCTGGGTGACCTTAAACACCCATTGCTTTTGCTTGATGCTGTAAATAGCCAAGAACTGGCTGAATTGCCAGCATACGGTAGGATAGCCCAGCAGCTTCCATAGTGCAGGCTCCTGGGGGGCTGTTCTGACTTCACACGACATTCAGGCCCAGACTCTGGCCCTTGGCATCCTCGCCGGGAATCTCCCATCGTCAGATGCATAAAGAAGATCCCCATTCAATTTTCAGGTTAAAATTTTCAGAGTGTCACCTCTGATAAATGATCCTCAATTTGGCCCTAACACAGTATAAAGTAGCAAATTCCATTTTAGTTCACTTTTCCTTTTTATTCCACTTTTTACTGATAATTTTTCATTAAG